CCCCAAAACCCCAAAACCCCAAAACCCCAATGCACCAGTAAAACGTGAAATTATTATGATTCAATTTTTAGTTTGATAAATTTGATACTATTTATTTGATATTTAATCACCATCTTGCTCTGACATGTTCTACTGTCCCTAAAACTTTGTCGAAATGAATTTTCAATCCATCTATTTCGCAAAAGCCTGACCAAAAGCCATATACAAGGTATTAAGTTATCCCCAATACAATGATATGTATTCCGTCTTTAGCAACTCCAGTTGGTTCAAACATTAAATCACAAGATCTGTTCTTGAATGCTTTGTTTATTGTGGTAGTTTTAAACTTATGAGTTTGCATCATATCTTACTCACTGTATTCAATGTCTGTCTGATCTAACTTGATCATCTCTCCTTCAATATTTATGAAATCCTCATAAAATTTCTAGTTATCACTTGGATTGTAATCTGTTCCTATTCCATCTCCAAAGTTAATTGAGATATCTTTGTTCAACTGTGAGTTGTGATAAGTGAAACTAGCCCAGAACCAGTTAGTATGATAGGTGAATTGCGCTCTGCCATTATCATATAATGCCAAACAGTGGTCTTCAGTTTTACATTAATGAGTTTAGCCTCCATAAGTATACTAACCTTCAGCCTTGATACCGAACTTCTTTGAGTTAGCAAAGTAACTCTGCTTATCATCAGTTAAAGGCATCAGGAAGAATTGATCGTCTACGACCTTGTCGTCTAATTTCAGATCAGCCTCAAACCCAATCTTTGGTGCTCTGATGGTAAGTCTCAATTTCCCATTATCTTATCTCTAGAATTGAATCTTTGAGTCTCCTTCTTCAATCATGGTGTTGTTAAGCCATTCAACAGAGTTTAGATCTAAATTTGCGCAATTAAGAGGATTAGATTCCCAAATCCTTCTGTTTTTGATGAGATTTGTGGGGTCTTCTCTTGGGTAGATCTATACGGACGTCACACAGGCTGGCCAGAAGTTTGTTATCGGCATCTAAATGATGTGGTGTGGCATATATACCATTACAAAGTTCCAAGCCCTATACTTCATATAGCTATACTTTTAGGAGAAATATTCATTTTGAGCATCTCTATAATTGATGAAGTACTTGTCTCCAACATTTTTGTCCCATCCATTGAATCTTAGTTTCCCATCTTCTTCTAATATATTGATTCTTTCTGAGCTTGGCTCAAGTGGTTGCAACTTGACCTGACTAATCCCTCTGGCTAGAGGCTTGAGAACAGTTTTATGCCTGACAAGTAATTCAAATGTGACCAAGAATACTGCGAGGACGATTCCCAATAAAAATATGTTTCTTGAGATAGTCTTTAAACTCATTAAATGAATGAATTTGAATGATATTAAGTGATTAGTTACTATTGCATATAAAAATTTTTACCTGTTAATTAAGATTTTGATAGTATAACAAGATTTGTTTCAATTATCAAATATTAGTAATCTGTGTAGATAATTTCAAATTCATCAGGTGATTCTTATCATTTGGGGTTTTGGGGTTTT